TACAGAACTTTGCACATTCAGAAACTTTGAAGGGGGCTGAATGACTTGAGAAAGAATCACCGGCCATTCCTCGCATTCACGTTTCTACAGACCATCGCAAAATAGGTACCGTACTGCTGAATTTTGCGACACCGAAAGAGCTGCGATTTCAGCGCACGCGCTCTTCGTCGAAACGACGTGAAGCAATAAGGATAGGATTAAGCTCAACTTAGAATCCCATGTCAGTATGTGTTCAGTCGGCGCGCCGAACCTCTACTGATGTGTCCATTTCCACACTTGTTTTTGAGGAGAGTATCAAAGCCCGTTTTGCCGACCTTTGTGACAAGAACCACGATCAAGGGATAAATGATTTGCAAGTGCGCTGGGGCTGGGAGCGACAAAGCTGAGGTTGATCTACAACCTACCTTTTCATCATACCCTAAGTCCATCCAGGAACGCGACAACATCTCTTGCCACACGCCCTTCCGTTTCACCACCAAAGGCATCATAAAACGCCGCAAAATCGCGAGCGTGTTCCACTAGTCTCTCTGGGCCACCAAGAGCGTCAAGAATCCTCGTCTGATTCGCGGAAGATCCACGCATCAGGAGGCCGAAGAGAACAGCCAGGTGTCCTCGTAGAAAGACAGCATCAGTTTCTGTTTCTGTTGACTCTTCAGGCGGTGGAGATTCTGTCTCAAGTTTGATGGGTAAAGGATTAGAAGGTGGATCCTGCTGCTTGTAGAGGGTGATGAGAATGTCCAGGGCACTTATGGGATGAGGGCAGATACAGCCTCGGATGCACGCCCGTTTGGCGAGGTGGCAGGTAGGATCAATCTCTGAAAAGTGTGCGTCAATTCATAAGGTATTATCGGATATGCGCAAATCACATACGGAAGTCGCGGAGGAGATTCTTCGTCCCTTCATTAACTTGAACGAGGTTAGTAAGAAGAGCGAGCGCAAGACAGAGCATGTCCATAGTGTGCGTCGTTCGATCCGACCCTACCTCTGCTTTCATTTTTCCTTTCCCATTATTCAGTTCAGCTTCAGCCTCTTCCTCTTTTTTAACGGTCTTCATGATGGTTCCATCTGAGGGGTGGGCTATGAGCCTCAAGATAAAGCCAAATGCAGACTCGGATTCAGCGATTTTTCGTCCCCAGATCTCATCGGAGTGCGTAAGGCTCACAAGTACCCGGAAAGTCACTTGCATACAGTTAATTGCGGAGGCTGTATAACGAGGCAAACAGGAGTGAGTTCATATTTCAGCGGGGCACGGCGCGGATGCATACCATTGCCATCTAGCTCCCCACACACTCCTAAAGCGGTCAGTGCCTCAGCAAGCCAATCATCCCTCGCCTTGTCAATCTCGGACTCGTTCAATTTCTTTTCTTTCTCCTCGTTTGACGATTCGTCCATCAGAGAAGTGCCCCACTGCCCAAGAAGGTAAACATCGAATAACCGAAGAGCGTGGTGTACTGTCTCGAATGGAATATGTCGAGCAGCGTCAGGCCAAGCAAGCGGTGCAGAAGTAAGTGAAGGGGATAGGACGGGTGAGAGTGTGTGGCGAAGAGTGGCAAGGAGGG